CTTGCCGCGGCCCTGCGCCAGCACGCAGCCGCCGCCGCGCGCCGCCCGCAGCGACACCTGCACGGCGAGGCTCTCCTGCGGGCGGCGCGCGGCCGCTGTCCCACGGGCGGGGCCTCGGTCAGGCCGTGTTTGTCGTAGCCGTCGCAGTCGTCCTCCTCCTCCCTCCTCCCTGCTCCTCCCTCCTCCTCTCTCCTCCTCTCCTCTCTCCTCCTCCCCTCCTCCCTCCTCTCCCCTCCTCCTCTCCTCCTCTCTCCTCCTCCCTCCTTCGCCTCCTCCTACTCCTGCTTTCTCCTTCTTCTTCTCCTTTTCCGTCCTCCCCCCTCCCTGCTACTTGTCTTCCTCCCCTCCTCCCGCCTCTCCTCATCCCTTGCCCTCCTCGTTCTCCTCCCTCCTCCTCCTCCGCCTCCTGCTCCTCCTCCTCCCTCCTCCTTCCTCCTCGTCCTCCTCCTCCTCCTCCTCCTGCTCCCCATCCTCCTCCCTCCTCCCTCCTCCCTCCTCCCCCTCTCCTCCCTCCTGGGCCGAGGGCCTCCTGCCCAGACGTGGCTTTCCCACGGCGCGGACCCCCTGGAGGTCTGGGGGCCTCTGCTGGAGGCCTCCGACATGGGCTCCGAGTAGATGTGGTCGGGAGATCGCGCCGCATCGCCGATGCATCGGCGACGTCGGCGGTGCATCGCCGCCGTCGGCGTGGCGAAAGTCGGGCTCCGCATCGAGCCGCATCGCCGATGCATCGGTGATGCGGCGCGACCCTCCGACCCCAGCTGCCCGGAGCCCATGTGGGAGGCCTGTGATCTCCCCCGGGGCTGGCCTCTTTTCCCGCGCCGCCTCTTGACGGTCCTCGGAGACCTCGGCGAGAGGCGCCCCGCCCCCCCCCCCGCAGGCCGAGCAAGGCCGCCTGACGCCGTGCTGGTTACTCTTGCCGCAGCCGCTACTCCCCGGGCGCGGGGCCGCACGCTGCGGGGCCGCGGCCCCCCGGGGCGACCCCTGCGATCCGGCGTTGCGAAAAGAAGGCAACACATCGCGAGACCCCACAGCCGCAGAGCCCTGGACCCACCCTGGGCTCGAGCTAGACACAGTGCTTGTCCTTGTCGCCTTGGTTTCGTGATCCTTCGCTCTGTCTTCCCTCTGCCTCTGCTGCGAGACGAGGTCAGAGCGCAAACGGTCCACGACCAGCAGCCCAAGCACCCTTTTGCTCGAGCCCTGGACCCACCCTCTCTGCGACACCTCTCGAGCCTGGCCGATCTCCGTGCTGGCCCCGGGGCTCGAAGCCTGGGGCAGCACCGCCCCCTGTGAACACGTCGCGACGCCAGGATCTCGGGGGGAGGCCCCGGGCGCCCGAGCCGAAGGTGGCCGGCTCGGGGCCGCCCCCGGCGCGGGGCGGGGGCGCGCCACAGGCCGCCGGCTCCCCGCGCGGGAGGGCCGCGTGGCGGGCGGCCGCGCCGCCGGGCGGGGCGGCCGCCGCGCAGCGCCGGCGGGCGCGGCAGGCGAGGAGCGCGAGGGCCGCCGCCGCCGCGGCCCGCAGGCTCCAGCGGCCCAGGGCGCCGCTGCCCTCGCGGCCCTGGGGAGGAGAGGAGACAGCGGCACACGGCACAGAAACTTTGCGGCGCTGCGCGCGGACAGCTCTCGGATCTGCGCTGGGCCCCCCCCCTCCCAGGCGCGCGGAGCGCGCCCGGGGCGGCGCCGGAGGCGCCGCCGGGGGGGCCCAGGGCGGATCCAAGAGATGCGCGCGGAGCGCCACAAAATTTATGTTCATGGCGCCTTTTCTTCTCCGGCTGGAGGCGGTCGAGCGCGGAGCCGCGGCTGCGGTCCACCACGGCGCCGTCGCTGGACCTGCGGGCCTCCCAGGAGTGCACGTCGCCGTCGAGGGTGAGGAGCCCCCAGCCGTAGTGGTCCCCCGCGCGGAAGGCGGAGAGCTTCGAGGGGACCCACGCGTCGTACAGCTCCTCGTAGTTTCCGCCGTGGCCCACCACGAAGTGTTGCACGCCGTCCACAGGGTGAGACCGCTCGTACGCGTGCACGTGGCCAGAGAAGACCATGTTCATGCCCGCGCTCATGAGGACTTCCTCGGCCGAAGCGCGCAGCTCTGCGCATACCAATTCATCGTCACAGCGGTGCGCGCTGGCGGAATGGAGCCACGGGGCGTGCACCAGCACGACCAGGTAGGGCGTCACGTTTCTGTCGACCTCCAACAGCGTCTCCGTCAGCCAGCGCGCCTGGGCAGATCCTTTCTCTGCGGCCGTGTACGGATTCAAGGCGACAAAATGAACGGGGCCCAGCCGCACGGAATAGAAGGAGCCTCCGAAATCGAATCGCAGACCGCTAAAGCTGTATGTGTCCCAATCGATGACTTCGAACTTGTGCCCGACATCGGCCGGTCTGGCCTCTGGGGTGCGCCACCTGTGCCGGTACGCCAGGAACGGCTCTCCAGACAGGTCGTCTGGGTCGATCTCGTGGTTGCCAGGCAGAACGAGCCACGGCACATCAGAGCAGCCCGATGCGTCGAACTGAATCCCAAAAGAGTCCCAACGCGAGGCATTCGTGTCTGAGTACGCCAAATCGCCTAGCAAGATGCCCGCGTCAATGCGGTCCGACGCGTGAGCTGAGGCGATGCTTGCACATGTGCTTGCGCTAAAGCCTGTCTGTCCCAAGTCCCCGACGATCGCAACTCGCAAGCCACGCTCCCCTGGCGCAGGCGGTGTGCGGAAATAACGCCACCGGTGCGGTACCACGCCAATGCGGTACCGGTAGTTGACGGAGCCCTGCACCTCCACGTGCGCATGGAGCAGCAACGGGCTGGAATAGTTCCCAGGCACCCGGCAAGGGATAGTAGCCCAAAGTTTTCCGCAAGCCAGTGTGTACTGAGTGGTAGTTGGGACGATGTCACGGCGGCTACCGATGACAGTATCAGTGCTGGCGTTATATGCCTCGATGGTCAAATTCACCACTTGGCGACTCGGGCTGGCCCAGGACACCACCACACTGGACTCGCCAGTGATGGTGACATGAACCTGCCCGGAATCCGCGCCGTCTGGCATCGAGCGCTGACTCGGGCCACACAGGGCTTGAGCCAACATAGCCACAGTGCCGCGGATAACCCTCGCGAGCTTGCTCTGGAAGGGAAGAGGAGGGCAGGGGACGGGAGAAAGCGGAAGGAGTGCTGTTGTTCTCAAGATCCGCAGGTCCCCCAAATCTCGACAACTTCGCTCGAAGCAATTTGCTCGTTCGCCCCGGATCAGCTTCCGATGGCCAAATGGCCCAAAAATGTCTCGAGGCCGAGACTGGAGGAAGGCGCCGGCACTGAGAAGGCCAACCCGCCCTGAGGCTTGGAGGATCGATAATTCGCAGAACGTGTGTTAGCCCCAGCTTGTGCTTGTGCACCGGATCCCTTCAATTCGACGCAGGCGGCGCAACAAGGGCCGACACATGCTGCGCGCTATAGGCGTATCTGAATGGGGGAAAAAGTCATTTTGGGCTAACGCACGTCCTGAGGATCCCAGAGTGGACCAGGAATGCGAAGGGCGACGAGGAGGCGAGGGGAGAGGCACCGTAAGGGTCCGACGACGACCGCGACCGCGACCGCGACCGCGACCATGACGACGACGACGACGACGACGTCGTCGACGACAACCCGTTTGCCCTGCCGCGGAGAGCGGCCCCGGGAGGGCTGGGGGCGGCGGAGGCCCAGCTGCACACGCTGCCGCGCCGGTGTCCGCAGAGAGCGCTGGCATCCGACGGCATCGTGCGCCCGCGCGCGGCCTGTTCGAGCGTGAGCTGGTGTCCATCTTTATTTTGCTCCTGTTGTACTTAAGAATCACATCCCAGAAATCATTTGGAGCAACCGGAAAAGTGTCGAAAAAGTGTCGAAACAATGTCGAAGCAGTGTCGGACGAGTGTCTCCCAGGGCCCGATGCGTGAAAACCCGCGAGTTTGGGGACTTTTTCGGTGCTCGAAATTCTTTCTGGTGATCAAGACTAAAGTATAGGTTGGAACATCATAACTCCATCCTTTTTCGTCGTCGGATGCATGTCCGCGGCGTCGGGGCACGAACTTGGGAAAGAGCCACGGACCTTCCATCCGTGAGCTCGCCGAAGCCGTCGCGGCCAACGGCCGCGGCGCCGAGGTGAGGTCTCCATGTGGACATGATCAACCCTCGCAACCCTTGGACACGGCTCGATTCTTCGGGTCGCTGGCCCCCAGACCTCTCGACCGCCTCTCTGGGACTGGTTGGTTTTCCCCAAACATTCTATGGTGGTGGGTCCCCACCGCCTCCTCCCTCCTCCCATCCTGCCTCTGATCTCCGTATGTCCTCGTCGGTATCATCAATATCACCAGTATCCTTGTTACCGTCATCGTTATCAACGTCTGCTTCAACATCATCTTCCCAGCCCCCCCTAGTGTCAGACCATTCACACGTTTCGTAGCCCCATACATAGGGAGCTCCGCAGAAAGCCCCAGTGGCAAAGTTCGCGCGCGTTCCCGCCGCCCACTTCGGCACGCCCCATGCAATTGTCAAAGCCCCACAGAGAGCTCCGCCGAAGGCTCCAGTGGTAAAGTTTGCATGCGCCTCTGCCGCCAACTTCGGAACACCCCTCACACATTTCAGAGGCTTACAGGGAGCTCCGCCGGAGGCCCCAGTGGCAAAGATCGCATGCGTTCCCGCCGCCCATGTTGGCATACACCTCACACGCTTCGTGGCCCCATGGAAAGCTCCGCCAAATGTCCCAGTGGTAAAATTCGCGTTCGCCCCCCGCCCATTCCGACACACCCCTCACACGTTTTGTAGTTCCATAGCTCCACCCACGGCCCCAGTGGTAAAATTCGCATGCGCTCTCGCAATGAATTTCGGCACACCCCTCCCAGGTTTTGTAGCCTCATAGAGAGCTCCGCCGAAAGGCCCCAGCTGCGAAATTCGCATGCGCTCCCGCCGCCCACTTTCGGCACATCCCTCACACGTTTCGTGGCCCCATGAAGAGCTCCACCAAAAGCTCTGGTGGCGAAACTCGCACGCGCCTCTCCGTCCATGTCGTCACACCGCTCACATGTTTCGTAGCCCCTAGGGGAGCTCCACCGAAGGCCTCAGCGGCGCAATGCGATTCCCGCCCCATTCTGGCGCACCCCTCACACGCTTCGTAGCCCCATAAGGGAGTTTCTTCGAAAGCCCCAGTGGCAAAATTCGCATGCGTTCCCGCCGCCCATGTCGGCACACCCCTCACACATCTCGTGTCCCCATGAGGAGCTCCGTCGAAGGCCCCAATGGCAACGCTCGCGTTCGCCACCCGTTGCTCACTTTCGGTACACCCCTTACACATTCCGTGGCCCCATAGGGAGCTCCGCCGAAGGCCCCAGTGGCAAAGTTCGCGTTTGCCCCCCTCCCTTTCCGAAACACCTCTCGCACGTTTCGTGGCCCCATGGAGAGCTCCGCCGAAGGCCTCAATCGCAATGTTCGCATGCGCTCCCGCCGCCTAAGGCAGCACACCCCTCACATGTTTCGTACCCTTTTGGGGAATTCCACTGGGGGCCTCACCGGCGCAATGCGATTCCCGCCACATGCTGGCCCACCCCTGACACGTTTCGTACCCCCATAAGGGGAACTCCGTCGAAGGCCCAGCGGCACAGTTCGCACGCGCACCACCTCTATCACCCCCCCATTTTGGCACCTCCTTCACATGTTTCGTTGTCTCATCGGAAGATCCCCTTCCTTCGTCCTACCTGTCCTGCGGCATGCACGCTTTCAAATGGTCGGGTCGTTCGCCAGGGTAAATGACGTCCACGGGGACTTGAAAACGGCCTCCCCGTACGCTGAAGAAACTGACAAAAACGATGCGAATGTGCTTCTAGTTGCCAGACGTCTGGGCCCGTTCGAGTATCTGCTGGCGGTCTTCGTGTGGGCGCTGCTGGGAAATCCCACCAGCCCGACAGGTGGTCTAAGGGTGATCTCTTTTTTCTCCCACAACCCCGCTGTCCTTGGGGAGGGTGGCCCTCCCCCTCCCCTCCCTGTTTTTTTTGGGGGGGAGGGGGGCCGATGTGTCAGAGGGTCCTTCTTCGGCCAGTGGGAGGGCCACTTTTTGACACCCCTCACGCGGATCCTGGTCCCCGAGGGGGGGGCAGACATCGAGGATCTTTTGACTGACCGCCTTTGAAATGGCACCAAGAGGCCCTCCAGGGCTCCCAAGAAGCCCCCAAGAGAGCTCCAAGAACGCCCCAAGAGGACCCAAGAGGCCTCCAAGAGGCACCCGAGAGGCACCCAAGAGGCACCCTGAGCGGCCCTCCAAGAGGCCCAAGAAGCCCACCCGAGGCACACAAGACGCCGTCTCGTCCTCGTCCTCGTCCCCCTCCTCATCCTCATCCTCGTCGACCTCCTCGTCATTATCCTCCTCCTCCTCCTCCTCTTCCTCCTGTTTCTCCTCCTCCTCCTCCTCCTCTTCCAAAAGACCCACGGGCGCCAGAGTTGGTCCCCCTCCCCCTTCTCTAAGGGGACCCGTGGGGAAGCAGAGGGGGGCCTCGAATTAAAGAGCATTAGTTACACCTAGGGCGGCGATTCAAAATCCGATACAGCATTTCAGGAGGAGGAGAAGGAGGAGGAGGAGGAGGAGGAGGAGGAGGATGAGGCAGGGGGGGAACGGGGGACGGGGGGCGGATGCTTTGGGGTGTCGTCTTCGTCATGGTCGACCCCCTGCGTCGCCGCCGCCACTGCTGCTGCTGCTGCAGCTGCTGATGTTGCGTCTACACTGCTGCAGCTCCTGCATCTTCTGCTACTGCTGCTGCTGATGGGTGGCGGGCGTCTCGAGCCCACCCGCTGCTATCATCGCGCGGGCTCTGTTGGGAAATGGCTCGCCACCGCGGCGGCGCGCTCCTTGGCCCGAAGGGCTCCCAACAGCCGAGCGCACTGAGCATCAACTCCGCTTTCCCAATCTGGAGGTGCGTGCTCAGCTGCTTCCACGCGAAACGAATGACCTCCGTTCGGCGGGCAAGGGCCACGTCGTGCGCCCACGATCGCACGTATGCCGCAGTCTCTTCGCCGGACCGCCCACCAGCCTCGAAGATGACAGGGACCAGCTCCCCTCCGTGCGGCGGGTACCGCAAGTGCTTGGCATCGGCTGCGTTCCGAGCCGCGAGCCCGTCTCGTCCGGCACGGGCCTGCTGGCGCGACATGTCGTCCCTGTGTGCGCAGGTCACGTTAACGTCCAAGAAAAATGGCTGTCCCGAAATGGCGTCACGGGTGGCCACGTCCAGTCTCGCCTCCTCCAACGCCCCCGTAGCGTCCACCCTGTCCCAGGCCACGACGCGCTGCTCGGTAACCGCAGTGAAACCAATCACCTTCTGGTGGTAGGAGCTGCAGAAGTCCCGTACCCCGTTGTGCCGCCGGTTGCGGGCTGGCCCGCAGGGGCACTTGTGGGCATGCTTGCCCCGAGCGTCCATGGCCTGACCACACACTCGCCCATCCGCCCGGCGGTGTTGACATGTGGTGCCAGGTTAACAGAGCCGCATGCGGAGCCTGTCCGCGAGCGCCATCAGGGAATGGTCAACGAGCTGGCTCGAGTCCCTCTCGGTGAACGGGTTGCTCCAGGAAATCACCAACGCCGGGGCCGCCAGCCGACCGCAGGTCAACCTGGTCGTCCCCGCTTAAGCTCGCCAGCAACTCCGTTTTGGCGACGTCCCCCAAAGCCGCAGCCCATTCCTTCTGCTTTTTCGGCTGCGGCTCGGCGAGACAAGCGACCCAGTCGGGGCGGGTGATCTGGCCGTGGCCTTGGGCGTGGAGACGATCCCCAGCTCTGGCAAGCGAGCCGGCCACAGGCGCGCAGCGCGCCGTGAACCCCTCCCACGAGGTCTCTCCTAAGGTTCGGGCCGCGCTTTGCAAAGTGAGAGCCTAGCTTCCGAGGAAAGCGGCCGCGGCCACTCTTTCGGCAGACATGAAGCCCAGGCCGCCATCTATTAAGCGCAAGAAGCACTGCGCTTTCTCGTCGCCCCGCAGATGTTGCCAGGCAAGCCAGCCAACTGCCCCCACCACGAGCGCGTCGAGGCGTTGCGTCCACGG